TGTGTGTGTCTGCTGTCGTTGAAAAAAAAAAACAGTGTTTGGAGTATACATGCGGTTTGATGATGATGGTGGTGTGGAGACGACGCTGAAGACTGTTCGACAATGGGATGTAAAAATATTGACGGTAAGCAAACGAATGCATCTACCCGTAATGGTGACTAGGTTCGGTGGCAAAAATTCCTGTGAAGGCTTAATTCTTCCTGTGTGTTCCTCATTATGCATTCATCAGTGCATATGCCATACTAACACTCGAGTTTTGAATTTTCTTGTCTGCATCTAGGCTATTTTTGCGGCCAGAAACAATTAGGAAACTTGATGTGGAGAGTCTGGTTGGAATTTTGCATTTTCTTGTCTGAATCTAGCTGTTATTGCGGTCAGAAACAACCTGGAAAGTTGATGTGAGAGTATGCCTGACAAGGATGGAGAGGCTGACCTTTCCCTTCACACTGGAGTTGTGCATTGTCTTGTCTGAATCTAGCTGTTTTTGCGGTCAGATTCAACCAGGAAAGTTAATGTGAGAGTATGGTACTACTGGTTTTTGTTTGTGTATCCGGAACTTAACCAAAAAAAAAAAGAAAAAAAACAACAATATAAACGATGAAAGTGGGAAGCAGAAAAAGATCACTCTGCAACAAAAGAAAGGCAGTCATCTTACGTTCTGTGCTTCGCATCATAACCCGACCTCTTGGAAATGCCCACTGAGAAAGGGGAAAAAAAAAAAAATAAGGACAAAAAAAAGCGAATTTGGAGTTTAACATGCTGGTGTTTTTTTTTTTTTTTTAACTGGAAGAATGCTCTACTGGGAAGTTCGCCTGAAAAGGATGGAGAGGCTGGACTTTTGCTTATCGTTCTTGTTGTACATCTGGGTGTATAGGCTTTGCCGGTGATAATCAAGCGGACTGCTGCGGCCCAGAATACATGGGGACTCCGTTTGTAAAAAAAAAGAAAAAAAAGAGGAAAAAAGGAAAAAAGGAAAAAAGGAAAAAAAAGGAAAAAAGGAAAAAAGGAAAAAAAAGGAAAAAAAAAGAATAAAATAAAATAAATGACATAAAATAGCAAATAGGGATAATTTGCAAAATACCCCCGTAAGTTAAGTTACGTGCCAAAATGCCCCTGAAAGATGTGGGTAGAGCGGAATGCCCTTTTGGGCCGAAATCTTTGTGTTATGCCCCTGTTGGGTGGGTGTGCAAATTTGCAATCTGGACCTCGTCGTTTGGGCCTTCGCCTTTTGGAATCTTGCCTAGGAAAAGTTGGCAAGTACTGTGGCATTTGCAAAGTTGGACAGTACCCGGTAGGGGTATATTGCAAAGATGGGGGTCCAGCCGACACCAGGGGTATTTAACAATTTTTTATTTATTTTTTATCAGAGGGGCATTTTGCGCTACCCACATCTTTCAGGGGCATTTTGGCATATATCTGAACTTACGGGGGTATTTTGCAAATTATCCCATAAAAAAAAAAAAAAAAAAAGAGGATGGAGTGTGAAAGGGAGAGAGGTGGACTCCTCCGGGTGCTCGCAATCCAGCTGACCTCCCAATGGATGAGTACTATGGGCACCTCCTGAGGTCTGGCGTCTGCCCTCTAGTACACCCTGGACCTTTCATGTAGGCGCAAAATTCTCTCTTTCTGTGGGGGACCACCAGCCACCAGCCATTCTTGTCGGGTAAGCTGAGCCTCTGTTCACACGGCGTCAAGCTACCCGCCGCGTCGGGGAAAACAATGGCTATGAAATGGACTGGTGGTTGTGACGGTTATTAAATGTCGCGACATCGGCTTCTTTTACTTTTTTTTCCCTCTACTTAACTTCTGAGATGGCAATTTGTTTTCCTGCTTCCCTCCCCCCCTTTCCCTCTCCCCTTCCCTCCTCCCCTTTCCCTCTCCTTCCCTCTTCATTCTTCCCTCCCCCCCTCCTCGCCCCATTCCCTCGCCTTCACATTCAGCCCCCCCGCCTCCCTTGCCTCCCTCCCCTCATTAATTGCTTGCAACTCCTTTCTCTGTGAAGCCCACCCAACGGTCGTAGCAACTGTGGCCCTGGATTGAGATAAGAACGGGGGAAGAAGAGGGGGCAGGGGAGTTGTCCTCCCAGTTTCCACCTTGTTCCCTGCCTGCCTCTCTTTTCTTGTCCAGACCCGACCCTCGCCTTTCCTTTCATGTTGTTCAGTCTTGTCCGAATGCGCAGACAAAGCATGTGTCTTCTCTGTTTAGTGATGGTATCGTATCGTGTGCGATTCGTGGACGATTGTGTGTGACTGTGTCTGGGTGTGACTGCATGTTCGTATCGTATCATGTGAGATCGCGCGTTGGCGGACGTCGTTGCCTTGACGGAACATGTTGCTGCTCATGGTCTTCTGCTTTGTTGTAACTGCCACTGCGGCGAAAATGTTGACGTCAACGCCCGGGTGTGTCCGGGGATGCGTGGCGGTGGTATCTTCGGTGACCGAAAATCGTGGCGTGGATTGCTGTGCTCTGGAATTGTTGGTGTGAACGGATTTTTTATCACCAGTTGAGCAAGTTCAATCGGCACAGGGATCGGACGGCATCGTTGGAGTTTTGGGACAAGCTCGACTTGTTTCTCTCTGCGCGGAACAGCATGCTGTTATACTAGGGTGGGAGGGTAGGGGGGGGGAAAGGGGGGCAGGTGTTAGGAATAACGGGGTATCCCTGTAGGGGAGGTGCTCGATGGTTCTTGCAACGCTTTGGGGGGGAGGTGAGGGGGGGGGAGGGAGTTTCCACTCTGGTACGAGGGTGGGTAGTTAGAGCCAAACGCAGCTTTTTTTTTTTGTTGTTTTTTTTTGTTTTTTTTTTGTTTTTGGAGTTGGGGACGACGACCGTGTATAGGTGTCATGTTGTTGTTGTTCCTTAAATATGTTTTTGGTTATTGAAGGAGGGTGTGCACTACCAGAAAGTTGTTTTCGACCTCTGTTATTTTGTGGTTTCGCCTGCAAAGGTGCTTTTTCAAGTCTCCTCCCCCTTCCCACCCTCTCCTCTCCCCTCCCAATTTTCATGTCCTCCTCTTCCTCTTCCTCTTCCATGCATTTGCTGACCCTCTTCCTCTTCCATGCATGACAGATTAAGAGTTGTCGAGGGTGAAAAGTAAGTCTTCTTCTTCCTCTTCCTCTTCCTCTTCTCCTTCTCCTTCTCCTTCTCCTTCTCCTTCTCCTTCTCCTGCTCCTTCTGCTCCTCCTGCTCCTTCTTCTTCTTCTTCTTCTTCTTCTTCTTCTGCTTCTGCTTCTGCTTCTTCTGCTGTTCCTCTTCTTCTTCTTCTTCTTCTTCTTCTTCTTCTTCTTCTTCTTCTTCTTCTTTCTGCTTCTGCTCTTGCTTCTGCTTGATGGATGGAATTTGCAAGGGTGTCATACCTTGTCGTCATTGTTCCTGTCCTGTTGTCTAGCAGTTCTTCTTTGATATTACTGAAAATTCAAAAGTTCTGATCTTTGGTGAAAATTTGCTTAGCACTTTTCAGCATTTCAGCAAGCTTTCTCGACTTGCTTTCTTGAGTACCATCATCTCTTTTTTTTTGCTGTTTGTTTTCCATATCCTCGCTTTTCGATGATCTCTCTCTCTCTCTCTCTCTCTCTCTCTCTCTCTCTCTCTCTCTCTCTCTCTCTCTCTCTCT